CAGGAGGGTGTGAACCCAGGACTGCTTCCCAAGACTGGGTCCTCAGCTGCCGCTCTTCTGTGACTGGTCCTGTAGAAATTTGCCACCATCATCAAACAGTAGTGTTGGGGTTCACCATCAGGGCTGGCAAAGACTTTCCAGCGGCCAACAATGAGTGGCAGTTGGATAATTAACTTGTCTTCCCTGGAGCTCTGTTCATGGGACAGTCTTCAAATGGGGCATGAAAAGGCACTTGGCAAATTGCAAGAGGAAATAACGCTTCAAAAATGAAAAATTGATGCCCATTTATCAACGGTGGGTAACAAGAGAGCAGGCACCATTTGTTTGGGGCTATTGCTGAGATCAGTTATGAAGTTGGACTGATGATGGAAATGATTGCATTCCTGGATGCTAATCTTCTGCCAAAGCAGAGACCATTTCCCAATCATATTGCTCAGGCCTCACGCGGGTTCTCTCTTTCTTTGATTTAGTTGGGTTATTTTGGCTGCTATTTTAACAGTGGTGAAATTCACCGAGTGTCCTAGCAGGCACTTTCGGTGTGCAATGACAGGATTTTAAAATGCTTTCTTTCAGATCGATTTGAACGTAAAAGCCATTCTTTAACTCGGAGAGAGGGATCGTCAAAAAGCAGTTTGCGGAGAAACCAAGATGGCGGCATAGGTAAACACCGGAGTTTGCTGCCTTGAGCAACCACTTCAAAAATACAACTAAAAGACAGAACGGACATCATCCAGAATCACAGGAAGGCTGGCTGAGTGGAAATTCTACAACTAGAAGGAAAGAGAAAAGTATACCGAGACTCAGAGGAGGCACAGTGCGGAAGTAAAATACTAAGGTACAGAGGTGCACACGGAGTGGGCTGTCGTTTTCAATCAGGAGGGAGTCTCAGGCTCTGAGCTCCACTTCCGGGCGAGTCTCTGGGGACCCAGACTCATACGGGAGAAGCGGGATTGTCTGGCATTGTTCGGAACTCGAGGGCAGCTTTCTCTCGGATGGGCTTGCAGCGATTGCTGAGACACTGAGAAGTGGGGCCTCTGAGAGCAGCCATGACTGCTAGCCCTGCCCTGTTGATCCCCTGGGACCCTCCCTGCCAAGCCCTGCAGGGAGGCTTTTGCTGGATAGCCTAAGGCAGAGGCTAGATTAGCACCTCCCTAGAGATCCAGGAGCCAATGTACCCAGAGGTCACAGTGGGACCATCCAGTTTGCAGCTCCGTGGAACCATAAAGGACACACTCAGGGGGCAGACTCAGTGAGCACCAAAGCCCCATTGAAGCAAGTCTTGCCCCAGAGGGGTGTCTCCAGCACAGAAGTTCTCCCACTGCAGACACAGCTGATTCTCACAGCCAATTGGCCTGGAGGTCAATTCCTCCCAGTGATAACTACAACAATCAAGGCTTAACTACAACAAGACTGTGCACAAAGCCCACAAGGGGGTGCACCAAGAGTGTCTACCTCAGGTAATTGGGACACTTAGCACAGAAAGGCACTCTATCGACACAGCGAAGCATAAAAAATGCCAAGACAAAGAAACAGGACACAAACGACAGAATTGGAGGAAAGCAAACTGTTGGATATAGAGTTCAAAACCACACTTTTAAGGTCTTTAAAGAACTGTCTAGAAGCCGCCGATAAATGTAGTGAGATCTTAAAGAAGACTGGTGAGACCGCCAATAAATGTAGTGAGATCTTCAAGAAATCTA